TTCAGCAGTCCCTGGGCAGGAGACGGGGGGGCAGTGTGGGGAGGGGAGCCCCCAAGGGAGGGCTCTGGGTGCCTGTGCTTGTCCGGGCTCATACCTGCAGGAGCTGTGCTCCTTCCACATGACGGAAACTACTTGAGTACCATTCTGGGATTGGGGGTGGATGCTGTCTGGGGCCAGGGCTGGTCCTAGGGGCTGGAGGAGGGCCTTCCCAGAGTACATGAAGATCCTGGGGGCTGTGCCAGTCCTCATGGCACTGACAACAAAGTGGGGCCATGGGGGGGCCAGGGATCAGGTACCAGCAGGGCCACCACTCCCCTCTGCTTCCAGCTCAGGAACCCCAAGCTGAGAACTGGGCAGGCAGGGCGCCCCCCCCCCCATAGCCTATTGGGAGCAATGGTGGTAGGGCCAGCTGGAGGGTCCCTGGGGAAGCAGCCAGAGGAGCCTGCACCCCCAAGTTCCCCAGGTCCGCGGTGGGTTCTGAGCACCTGATAGGAGAGGGAGCGGGGGTGCTGGGGTGGGAGCTGGGCCTGTCGGCACCTCCAGGAGGGGCAAGGGCACCCAGGCCGGGGCCAGGGCCTGTCTCTTCCCATGTGACCATGTGCAGATACCCGCAGCTCGGATGCCACTCGAGTGTGGGGAGGCTCAGATGGGCTGACACAGGGCCCAGCACATGGTAGGCATGCACCCAAGAGAGACTGGAGGGGCCCACGGAAGTGACAGGGAGCCGACCCTGCGCCCGCAGCAGGGCCTGCACAGGTGCTCAGAGCAGCCCAGTGTATGCCTAGCGCGTGGGCCAATCACGGCTGTGGTATCCGCTCAGGGCTGAGTCTGCGAGCCCGGAGGTGGAGCCGCGCGGGCGGGGGGCATTGATTCCCTGCCTCATGGCTTCCAACAGCCCCCTGCACCGGTGTCCTGAGCCACGGGTGACTGATGTAGAAGGGTCCAGCGGTGTGGCCGCCTCGTTTCTGGGCGACCTCGGTGAGCGAGGGCAGGATGGGGGATGCAGAGAGGAAGGAGGCCGGGGCTGTCGAGTCTCGAGCCTGAAACCCCCTCCCTCCTCCTCCCCTCCTGCCCCACCGTGGGCAACGCTGCAGGACCAGGCCTCGAGGAGGGTCGGGGGCACTGCTCTTCCCCGACCTCTCCCTCTGTTCCAGCAGGTTCCGGCCCAGCAAGGTGGGCTTAGGGGAGGCAGGGGACCCCCGAGGGACAGGTGTCCGGCTCCTGCAAGGTCCTGACGGTTTTGCCCTCCTCCGGCCTCTCCCCTCAGCTCCTGGAAGTGGAGGCTGTGGCTTCTTGCTTGGCAGCCCCTGGCATCCTGTTTGGACTAAGTGCACAGTAATGCTGACGATTTGAGGCCAAGAGCCTTCTGGAACCTTCTGGGGCTCCTCTGTCAGCTGTCTACACCCTGGAGGCCCAGGCCTCAGGGGTGTCCTCACCCTTCTGCACCCCGGCCGGTTAGATTCGGGGGCAGTCCGGTTGCCCGCAGGTTGGGTGGAGGATTCGGATGGCGGCTCTAACCACCAGCAGCGAGAATACTCCGAGAATTTCAGCAGCGCCCGCCCCGAGCTGACGGGGAGGGCAGAGGCGTAGTGGTGCTTCGGTGAGGAGCCGCCTGCGGGAGGCCAGAGGCCCAGGTAGCGGGGGCTGCAGCAGTGGGCGGGGCGGTCCCAGCTGCCTCCGCCCCTCCCCGCTGCGCGGTGGCCGGGGGCTGCTCCTCCCCCACCCTTGGCCCACAGGTGATGGAGAGGACAACGTGGGGCGCCCTCTCGTAGGTGAAGGCGGTGCGCGCGCGCCGCGGCTTCCCGGACTTGGGCCTGGACGGCGGTGGCTGTCAGCCGCCGCAGGGCCGTCCTTGCCCCACCCAGCCCTGCCCACGGTGGTGGGTGATGGGCTGAAGAGCGCAGGGAAGAGTCTGAGGGCTCGCTAGTCGCACACGGAGAGGGATGTCCCCCCCGTGGGCGCAGGGCTCGGCCGCGGAGCAGCCAGGGGGCGCGGCAGGCGCACGGCTTCACCGCGCTGGCGTCCCGCGACCGTGGACACCCACCTTGAGTGCCGGCGGGGCTGCGGCGGGGACCCCCTCACCGCGCGGCAGTGCCCGCGTCCCCGAGCCTCGGCTTTCGCCTCGAGCCGGCCACCCGGCCCAGGCGCCGCCGCCTCCCGCATCCCCTCCCCCCAGAGCTCCAGGAGCCGGCGTGGGGACCGCGCCCAGAGCCGGGCTGCAGGCTGCTGGAGGAGGTGGCCGCGCCGGACTCCCGCGGGCCGGGCTCGGGGTCCGGCTCAGGCGCCGCTGGGCAGAGGTTGCTCCATCCCGGCCAGCCCCAGCTTTCCTCCACCGGGGAGCGGCGGGAGGCCCCTCCTCCTCGGGCCGGCCTGGTGCTCAGGGAAGGCCGCGCGGATGCGCATTGGGGCGGGGGCAGGGTCGGCGCCCGGCGCGAGCGCTGCCCCCAGGCCCCACCGCGCGGGCACTGTCCCGCTGGGCTTCCCTGAGCACCAGGCCGGCCCGAGCCGAGGAGGGGGGAGGGGAAGGGAAGGAGCGGGGACACGGGACTCCCGGACCGGAGCCTCAGCGCACACAGCACCGAGGCCGCGCGCCTGTTCCCAAGCGCGTGGGGGGACCCGGGCGACGCGGGATGGGGCAAGCTTGGCCACGGGACGCCGGGCGGCGGGGAAACTGGGCCCCAAGGCCCGCGCCGGGTCGAGCACCCCGGAGCGCCTCGGTCGCGCCGAAGTCCCCACCGAAGGGCGGCGAGGAGGACGGGGCGCGGGCGACGCGGGAGCCTGAGGGACTTGGGCGCGGCCTCCTGCGGTTTATTGATTGAGTAGAGTTCGGCAAAGTGCTTCCCAGAGGGCCGAGCTCGGCCCCAACGCGCGCGGACAGTCGTTTATAAATTTAAAACTCTTCTGTAGCAATCGGCTATATACAGAGTCAGCGACCTCAGCCTTACAAAAGGGCCGACCGGCGGGCGCCCTCGGGTCCTGGGCGCGGCCTCAGGGGCGCGAGGGACGCGTGCGGCTGCCCGGCCCGGCGTCCCGTCCCGTCCCGAGGCCGTGCTCAGAGGTGCGGCGCGTAGAAGGCGGGCGCGCCGTAGGTCTGCGAGCCCAGCACGAAGGGCGACAGCACCGCCGGGCTCGACAGGAAGGGCAGCTGCGCGGCGCACACCAGGCCGCCGGGGCCGTGCGCCGGGTACCCGGCCGGGCCGTGCATGGCGATCGGCGCGCCCATGGGCGGCGACGGGCTGAGGCCACCGGGCAGCCCCGCACCCGGCCCGGAACCCGGCCCCGGTCCCCCTCCGCCGCCGGTCGGCGCGCCGGAGTCGGCGCCCGGGTTCTGCTTCTTCCACTTGGTGCGACGGTTCTGGAACCAGATCTTCACCTGCGTCTCGGTGAGGCTCAGCGACAGCGCCAGGTTGAGGCGCTCGCACACCGACAGGTAGCGCGTCGCCTTGAACTTGTTTTCCAGCGCCACGAGCTGCTCGTAGGTGAAGGCGGTGCGCGCGCGCCGCGGCTTCCCGGACTTGGAGTCGGAGCCCGTGCGCTTCCGCTTGGGCTTCGTCGCCGCCGCCGCGCCCTGCGGGGTCGTCCCCGCGTCCCCGGGCGCCGCCGAGGCTCCCGGCGAGTTCCCACGGGGCCCGGGGACAGCGGCCTCATCGACAGCGCCTGGGGGCGCCTCGGCCTCGCGCTGGCAGCCCGACCCGCGGGCCCCGAGGCCGCTGCCGCCTCCCCGCGCCTCCGCGCCGCGCGCCGCCCCCGCCTCGGGCGCCTCGTCCCCGTCCTCGTCGTCGGGCGCCTCGTCCCCGCTGTCCGCGCTCGGGCTGCGGCCACCGCCGCTGCTGTAGCCATTGGCCTCGGCCTCGTCCGCCTTGCAGGGGTCGCCGGCGTCTGCGGGCAGGGACGGGGCGGGGAGGGAGGACAGCACAGTTAGGACCCGGCGCCCTCCCTTCCGCTCGCTCGCCCCTCCCGCGCCCTGCTCCCCTTAACGAATCCCTTCTCCTGTTTCCGTTGCTTCTCTTCTTGTCTCCCTTTCCCCTTAGCGCATTCGTTTCCCTGTCCTCTCCCCTCCTTTCCTTCTCACCCTCCCAGCGCTTTCTCTCTCCGTCCCCTGTGCATTCCTTCTCTCCAGAGGACCCCCCCCTCCCGCCATCTCCCGAGCCCTGCGCCTTTGCCCCAGCCGGGCAGGACGGGGCCGCAGAGCTTATGGCAGAGGGAAAGATCCCATCGATCCATGGGGCAGATACAAACTTAATTAAACTCATTTTGCGTAATGTACAAACTAGTTAACGGCCATTTAATTTATTTCAGCGTACATTACCCTCCAATTACCACAAGTCTCCAACAGAGCCAGCCAATTACTGGGCATTTAAGAGTGGGCAGGGCCAGAGTCCTGGGGTAAGGTTGTAGCCCGCTGTGAGGAGGCGATTTCCGGGGACCAAAAAAGTTGCCCTGGATCCATCCCTACCTCAAGACTTGGGGCCCTGGAACTTGGCCACCCTTGGCCCCTCGGCTGAGACCCCAGCAGGTCCAGGCTGGTCCCGACCAGGAGGGCCTGGCCTGGGCAGTGGGGGTCCAGAGCAGTGCTGAGACCAGCCGGGATGGGACTCCCCACTAGGTCAAGTCTGAGCAGCACCTCCGGATCCTCCAAGCAGAGGCCCGCGCGGTGGCTGCAATCTGAATCTCAGAAATTTGGAAGAAAGCATCTGTCCCCGGCAGGGCCCAGCAGGGGTGGCAGGGGTGGCGGGCAGGGGAGGACGTTTCCATGCAGCCCCTGCTCCCACAGGTGGTCATACAACCAGGAGAGAAGCCAGGGCAAGCGCCCAACACCATGCCATCCCGTCGGGCACCAGGCCCCGGTCAGGCTGGCACGGAGAACTGGAGAATAAAGGACAAATTCAGTCCGATTCCTCCAGGGTGACCACGGGCTGCGTGGAGGCCGGCAGGGCAGATATCCTGGCCCCCACCCATACCTCTTAGCAGGAGGAGAGATGGTCCCCCAGGTGACCCTGACAGCTCCTGCTCTGTCCAGGGGTGGACTGAGGAAGGAGGGGCCCTGACCCAGCTCCCTCCCTAAACTACCAAGAAACTGGGCCTTCCGACTGGGATGTCTTCCCCATTTGATGGAGGCTCCGAGTGGAAACTCCCAGAACCCTGGCCAGGCCGAGAGCCTGAGGGGCTCCCCTCCAGCCTTCCCGAGATTGTTCCTCCTCCATCTCCGCCCAGCTGGGAGGAAGCCCAGTGCAGGTGCTAGGAGGCCCCTCGCCTGAAAAGGCCCACCCGAGCCCTGCCGGCCCTGCGCGCCTCTCCCCGCGGGGCAGAGGGCCCGGGAAGTTGGAGGGAGGAATGGCCAGCGGAGGGGGCACCAAAAGCAATCAGGAGCCGGTCGAATGCAATTCCCGATCAATAGCGGCCCCTAATAAGTGTAATAGGTTTTAATCGAGTAATTATCCGAATTTTGACCCTATAATTTAGATGTTCGGGGGGAGTTTGCAAGGTGCTTGAAAGAGATATGCATGCAGCCGTAATGGGATATCGACCAGGCCGGGGTTGCGGGCCGCCCCATTACCGGCCGCTTTCCGCCGCTAAGCACATTTCCCCTTAACTGTAATCGAAGGGATTTAATTGTTTTTCCAGAGATAACCAGCGTTTTGTCACAATTAGTCTGATTTGTCCAAAAAAAAGAAGAGACAGAGAGAGAACGGGGGAAAAAAAAAAGGAAATAAAAGAATGGAGGGAGGAAAGTCTCCGGAGGCTGCGGTGGGAGTGAGGAGGTCACGGGCTAGCCGCCGCGCACGACTCCCCCTCCTCTGCCACCTACTGCCCTCCAGTGCCGGGGGTGCGCGGTGGCCAAACCTGGGCCGGCCCTGCAGTCCGTAGCCCTGGACCCGGCCCGGGGTAGGCATCCCGGGAGGCACCGGGCGGTGCGGGCCCTGTAGTCCGGGTCGGACGCAGGCGGCGGGCGGGCTGGTGCGGGCCCCGCGCGCTGCGAACTTTCCACCGAGCCTTGGCGCCGGGCCGGTCAGGTTCGCCGAGGGGTCCCGGGAGCGCAAACTCGTAGACGCGGCCCGTCCCTCTACCCCCGCGACCCGGCACCGGCCGTGCCCTACTCACGCGGCGGCTCAGCTCCGGTACCGGCTCCAGCTCCTCCGGCGGCCGCGAGGGCACGGCGCTCCAGCTCCTCTGAGCGCGGCGGGCGTCCCGGGGCGGCGGGGGCCGGGGCGCACGGGGCGCACGCCGCGGGGCCCAGCAGCACACAGCGGCGTCTCCTGCTGTTGAACTTGTTGGGGTCCAGGATGTCCAGCACCGAGAAGGAGGTGGGGCGCGGCGGCGGGCCGGGCCGGGCCGCCCCAGCACCCTCGGGCGCCGCGGGCACCGTGTCGCTGGCGGCGAGCGGCGGGG